AAATATAATGTAAATGTAAATAACAAAACTTGAAAAATTGAAATTTTAAAATAAGCCCCAAATCAAATAAATAAGCAGCACAAATAAAAGGAATCTCTTCATATAAACAAAATAAGGCTTTGTCTGTGCTCTTTCCATTTAAAATTAGAGGCAACCACTGCATTTAAGCAAAAACAGAATGATTTGACTTCAGTTTTGTGAAACTAAACATAAAAAATATCTGCATGAAACAGAAACAGCAGAGCTGAATGAGACGCATATTCACTCTCTGCCAGCAGGTGGCGCTTAAAGCGTTTCCTTGGTTTTCGCTGTAAACAATGCAGCGCTGCACTTATGAACTATAATATGCATTATACAGAGGCAAGATAAAAAGAAAAAATACCATCTAAACTTTTCTAAAGACAGTAAGTTCCCCTCAGACATACATTCATATAAACTCCTACACCTAATTGAATCGCGATTTGTTTAGCATCTCAATCGATTTGAATAGTCACATATTTGAATCGATTTTCAACCGGCTCGTGGTTAATCGTTACATCCCTAGTAACGGAACAATAAAATGTAACAAATGTATTGCGATTTATGCACGGGTCGGCAACACAACTGTCACAAACCAGTCACAAACATACTCTTGTTTATCAGTAGGTAATTATGTGCTTCTAATTTATGAAATAAAATAAAAAAACAGATTGAATGTTTCACAGAAGTCATTTGCAATTTTCAAAAGAAAGCTATATTTAATCATTGCATGCAAAATGTGCAAATGCAAATACAAACAGCTCAATGTTCAATGTTCGAGAGTCCGTTGTTTGTGTCAGTCAAAGGCCTTTAAAGGAATAGTTCACCCAAAAATTAAATGAAAGTAAAACTGCTTTCTTGTAGCTTCATAAAATTAAGGTTGAACCACTGATGGACTGTTCTAAGGATGTCCTTACTACCTTTCTGGGCCTTGAACATGTCAGTTGTGTTGCTGTCTATGCAGGGTCAGAAAGCTCTTGGATTTCATTTAAAAATACCTTCATTTGTGTTCCAAAGACGAACGAAGGTCTTATGGGTTTGGAACGATATGAGGGTCGTTAATGAAAGAATTTTCATTTTTGGGTGAACTATCCCTTTAAATTCCTTAATGAAGGATTTGTTTATTACAAACAGTTTTTGCTTCACAAGACATTAATTAATGGACTGGAGTCGTATGAATTACTTGTGGTTTATTGTGATGTTTTTATCAGCTGTTTGGACTCTCATTCTGACGGCACCCATTCACTGCAGAGGATCTATTAGTGAGCAAGTGATGTGATGCTACATTTCTCCAAATCTGTTCTGGTGAAAAACAAACTCCTCTACATCTTGGATGGCCTGTAAAGTAAATTTTCAGCTTCTATAATGGTGAACTAAAACTACAACAAATATAATTTTGTGTTCCCACTTGATTCAATAGCAAAAGATAAAATCCACGACAGCATTACTAAGACTTTGAAAAGAGAAAAAATATTGGGAGCTTGAATACAGTGGTTAGAAGAGAGAGAGATGTCAAATTTTTGCAGACACTCCCTCAACAGCAGTTTTCTGAAACGTAATGCCAAGACAATGTAACAAAATTGTATATATTTTATAAATTTTAACATTTCTTAAAATAAAAATATTTAAAAATGCTAGATATACAATGTTAATGACTGTGGAAAGGCATCGAAGGATCTATTAGTGAGCAAGTGATGTGATGCTACATTTCTCCAAATCTGTTCTGGTGAAAAACAAACTCCTCTACATCTTGGATGGTCTGTAAAGTAAATTTTCAGCTTCTATAATGGTGAACTAAAACTACAACAAATATAATTTTGTGTTCCCACTTGATTCAATAGCAAAAGATAAAATCCACGACAGCATTACTAAGACTTTGAAAAGAGAAAAAATATTGGGAGCTTGAATACAGTGGTTAGAAGAGAGAGAGATGTCAAATTTTTGCAGACACTCCCTCAACAGCAGTTTTCTGAAACGTAATGCCAAGACAATGTAACAAAATTGTATATATTTTATAAATTTTAACATTTCTTAAAATAAAAATATTTAAAAATGCTAGATATACAATGTTAATGACTGTGGAAAGGCATCGAAAAGGCATCGTCTGCGAAAAGGGCCCATACTGATTTACTCTTACTGATGCATTTGAGAGAACTCTGACTCACAACTTACTTGAGTAGGCGCTTTATTAAATTATTCTGTTGTTTGTAAAACTGCTGTATCATAGTATATCATTTTGCAAACTTAGTTGTTTTTATTATGCAGTCAGTGGGTGATTCAGCTGCACTAGGCCTCTATGCTGTCCATTACTGCGGTAATGGTGACATCTCAGGGAAGATCCTCGCCGGGGAATAAATCCACCTGGGGAATAAAACCTTCCAGCTGATATAATGAATACCCTTGTATATTATTCATTAAACACAAGCTACATAAAAACGGAAGGAAATATGAGGGGAAAGGAAAGGCATCGTCACAGTCTGCGAAAAGGGCCCATACTGATTTACTCTTACTGATGCATTTGAGAGAACTCTGACTCACAACTTACTTGAGTAGGCGCTTTATTAAATTATTCTGTTGTTTGTAAAACTGCTGTATCATAGTATATCATTTTGCAAACTTAGTTGTTTTTATTATGCAGTCAGTGGGTGATTCAGCTGCACTAGGCCTCTATGCTGTCCATTACTGCGGTAATGGTGACATCTCAGGGAAGATCCTCGCCGGGGAATAAATCCACCTGGGGAATAAAACCTTCCAGCTGATATAATGAATACCCTTGTATATTATTCATTAAACACAAGCTACATAAAAACGGAAGGAAATATGAGGGGAAAAAGCACACAAATCGGGCTGCCAAGTCAGGTCGGAGATCTCGCAGCTTTTCATCCTCTTTTCTACATATGAAAATGTGCTCAAACTGCACAACAAATACTTATGGCTGCCTTTCCCCCGGTATCAGCAGAACCTACAGCCTGCGTGAGGGGAGGGAGGGCCTGCACCCTGCAGTCTAAGCACGTCATCTTTGCCACAGCACACTGACACAGCTTGCAGCAGTATGATAATTTATAGTGCATGCATCGCAGCTTTCATACAGCAAACAGGGTGAGGATTCAGGTCTGGATGGCAACGAATTAGTCTGCATGATTTGCATACATTCAACTGGTTTCTCAAAACAGTGTTGAATGCACCAACTGCGAGCACAGGCTGTGAGGTTGCACGTGGTGCTGCCATGAAAAGACTTGCCTCAAATGCTTTTGTTACAGGTCTGCCATGTGCAAAAAAGTCAATGCAAAAGCAGTAACAAATACAGT